GGGGAGGCCTGGGCCGGTGGTAACAAATTGGAGAAGCCGGCGAGCCTGGGAAAGGTTGTCAATCAGGCGGTCCAGCAAAATCAGGTCACCGCGCATTCGGTAAAGGAGGTTGTATGCTCTCTGGTCCTGAAAATACGTCTGGCTTGGCATAGGTTCAGTGTGGAGTGGGTGGTGTCGGAGGTGTTGGTTGACCATAACGAGAAGGTCAAAGGAGCTGTTGAGAGATTGAAAGTCAGGCTGAGTGCAAATTGAAGGTTGGAGCCAGCTCGGAGGGCGCTGTGGCAAGTAGTGTTCTGTGTTGGCGGTGTTGCCATAGGGGCGAGCGCGAGGATTAGCCATGACCAGTGATGGATTGTGATGGCGTACAAAAGGCTGCGGAGCTGAGGTGAGCCTGAAAACTGTAAAATCAAAGGTGGGCAACTGGGTGAACATAACTTGGGTGTGAATAGAATTCAGTGCATGTCAGCGGATTTGTCGTGCGGCACGCCGTACGGAAAGTGGGTGAAACGGATCAAATGAAATAGCTGCCCACTGGCGAGAGTGGAGATTTCTCCGGATGACTGTCCTCACTACGCGGTCGCTCAGCAGCCGGCGGCAGCGGCGCAGCAGCTGGAGTCGTTGGGTATTGTAAAGTCGGTGGTGTTGTGGTGGGGGAAGGGGAGAAGTCTGGTTGTGAATGTGGTGCTGGGGAAACCGCTGGTGACGTAGGTGTTGGTAGTTGCTGGTCTTGCTGTCGTTGCATGTCTTTGAGTTCTTGCCATCGGGCTTGGCATTGTGCAACGGAGAAACCCACGCGGCGGGCCACAGTAGTCCAGTTTGGACGAAGTTTTGGGTTTTCTTTGAGTTCGACAAGGCGACAATCAGCGTCGCCGTCCCAAGCGTCCCAATCGGCGTGTTGGTTCAGTGGTGGTGGGGGTGGTTGCTTCCGCTTGCGTGTTGTGGTGGGTTGTGGAACAGGGGGTGTTGTTGGAGTGTCGTCGGAATCCTGTAAGGGTGGCGCTGGTGAACGGATAGGTGGTCTTGATGGTGCTGAATCACAGGAGGAGGTGGTGGATGGTAAACGTATGGGGTGATTGGGCGGGGTTGGAAGTGGCTGAAAGTGTTGGCGGAAAGTGGGGTCTGCTTGGTGGCTGTGGTGGAGGAACACCGTGTGGAGGTGTGCGACAATATCTGTGGCTTGTCGAAGCAGGTTGTGCACCTGGGAAAGTGCCACTGCGGTTTTGTGTAGGAGAGTTGTGGTGTCGTTTTGTAGAGGTGTCAGCGTGCTGCTCATGGGGCTGAGATGTAGGGGTGTGCAGTAGTCAAGAATCGTCACAGGTTGCTGCGGCAGCGCACCAAAGCAGCCGGAAAGCGGCGAATCTGAGGAAGCACATCATTCCGAGGCCGTGCATATGAATTAAGCGAGCATCAAATTCCCACAGGCAAAAGGGTGAGTACGCAATGCAACTTGGACAATCGAGTACATGGCTTAAAGAGTCACTCTCCGCGACCCAGAAATCAACATGTGAAAGACTCCTGCAAAACAGCCGATGCAATTCAAAAGATTCTCAGCAAAAAATGCGAAGCTAGAAAAATGAAGGGTTCAAAACTGCCCGTGGCTGCTGCAAGAGGCTCTTTTTTGCTGCTACAGCAAAGGTTGGGTGGTGGTGTGAGACCGAAAGTGGATGTGGAGGTGGTAGTGAAGTGTGGATGTGTGGCAGTGGTGTTATGGGTCCGGTGGGGTGGAGTTGGTGGACCAGGCCAGTCCTTTGACAATGGCGTGGTCCGGGTGGATCACCCAACAGCGGCCCTTCTGATGGAAGACCGCACCATGGTGGTCGTTAAGGAGGTTCATGGCGTGTTCCTCACCTCCAGAGGTATACTTTGTGGCGGCACCCCAAGCAAGGAGTGTGATGATAAGGGAATGGGAGTTCTTGTGGAGTTGCCAGGTGTTGTGGATGATGCGGGCAAATTCGTTGTGGTCATGGGGTTGGTTGTGGGTGATGCGAACGCCTGGGCAAAAAATCCAGGGTAGTTGGCAAAGTGGAGTGTGCTGGGTAGGAAACGGCCTTGGCGTAGAATGTTGGAAATGTTGCCGACGGGGCCTGTGTGGCCAGCGTTGATGTGGGCAACTTCTCGGTGGGTTGACGTGGCGCGGGAAACAGCAGGTGGCTCGGGTGTAGTGGCTTTGGTGTTGAGGAAGGGAAGTGAAATGGCATAGTACTGGAATTGGTCGTATTGGTGAGTTGTGTCGTTCCACTTGGCATGGGTGTATTGGCGGAAATCGTTGATCTCCTTGTAGGAGATGTTGCAGTCGGTGAGGATATTGGCAATGTACTGGTGTTGTGGTCTGTTGGGATTGTCGAGTTGGTTGGCGTGGAATTCGAGCCATTCCAGGATTTGGTCCGTGGGTGTGAGGGTGTGAAAGTTGGGTGGAGGTCGCCAACGGTTAAGTGGGCGACGGATGACGGCTGTGGTGGGATATTGAGAGGGATCAGGGTTCGCGTGTTCGGTGTTTGGACGTAGATCAATGGGTTGTGGTGGGGATCGACTGCGGGATGGTGTGAGGCTAGATGTGTAAGTGGATGTGGAAGGCGAACGCCGTCGCCTGGTTTTGGTGTGGTGTTTGGAATGGTGGTGATGGCGATGTCGGCGGCGGTGGCGGTGGCGTCCTCTGTGGTGATGGTCGGACTTGCGTCGGCTCTTGTGATGGTGGCGGCGACTGCTGTGTGGTGGTTGTGGGGAAGGTGGTTGTGGTGCTGGTGAGGCAGTGGTGCCAGGTTTGTTTGATGCTGGTAGTGAAGGTCCCGGTGCTGGTGTGGCAGAGACCAGCGAGGGGGATGCTGAATGTTGGGATACGGTGGCCGGTGTGTTTTGGACTGGTAGTGGATTGCCCTGGGCAGTCGCGGGGATGTGTTGGATCTGTGGTGTTGGATCCGATGGTAGCTGCTGTTGTAATGGAGGTTGGGTTGGCATTGAGGCACTGGTAATTTGTGGAGGCGGTGGCGGGGGCCCCGGTTGGGGTGGAGGTTGTGTGACGGGGGGAAAGGCTGAATAGGGTTGCCAAACGCCCTGTGGGATGGCACATTGGGTCTCTGTGGATGGATAATTGGCAATCGCAGCCTGTTGCTGTGTTGAAGGGGGATGTGTCAGTGTAGTGGGGGGAAGAAGTTCAGCTGGTGGTGTGGGATGATGTGGTGGCAGCAGGTAGGACGGGGAAGGTGCTGCTGTCGGAAACACTGGAGCTGAAGGTGGGGGTTGCGGTGGCACGTGACATGGGGGGACAAAAGTCCAAGTGGATGGTGTGCCGTAGGTCATTGCGGTGGCAGTAGGGGTGGATAAAACCGGTTGTGGTTGAAATGGTTGTGGTTGGAGGTGAGGGTATGCCGGTGGTTGTGTGGAGGGATAATTAGGTGCTGTTGATGGCTGTGGCACCGGCCATGTGGGTTGAGGTTGTGTGGTAGGTAGTGGTGGTGGCGTGGTGTGAGCATAGGGCCACGGAAAATGCATGTCGTGGTCGTAGCTATGGCTCGGCGCGGCGCGGCAGCAAAAGGCAGCGAAGAAAAGCCGAGTGGTATTGTCTTGTTGTTGTTGAAGGTGTCATCTCTGGTGGCAGTGGTGAGTATGTTGTAAGGTAGTGCTAAATGTGAGCTTGTTGGTAGGTGTGTGTTCATGCATCTCGAATTAAGCTGAAGAGCTCTCATGCCCAAACTTGAGTTCTGCCGATAAAATAATCGCGGCATCAAAATGGCAAAAACATGAAACATGAACATGATTTGGAGGAGTGAAAAGACAGATCTGAAAAACTGAAAGCTGAATTCCGATGTATTCTTCAAGAACCGTTTTTTGGCCCGGCGGCCGGTGTGGCAGTTGATTCAATGAGGGGGTCGGTGCCTTCCTGTGAAGTTCCAGTGATCGGTGGTGCGTTGGGGTGGTTGCTTTCCCATGCAAGAACGGCGCCCCTGTGAAGGGGATCACACTCAGCACCCGAGTGGGACGGCTGAGCAGGACACACTTCGAACTTTGATTTTCAGTTAATGCAATCTCTGGAAGAAAGGAATGGTTCAACGGTAAGGTGGAAAGTCAGCGCAATTGTAGATGTTTCAACAAAGGTTTTTCTTACGTGACTGCGGAAAGCGCACGGCGGCAAAACGGCAAGTCGGCTGCAAGTCTGCGTTGGGAAACCTGTTTTGGGGATGGAAGACATGAAACACCATGAAACAAACCAAAGGAGTGGACAGCGTGGGCAACAGTTTCTTAGCAGGTACACGGTCAGACGTCTCTGACCGCATCCACCTAGCAAGCATAGCTTTGTTAGCCAGCGTTTGCTTGTCGGCCGCTGGCCCCCTGCTTGTGGAGAACAGGTGGTGGAAAAGAGGTGGTGGAAAACCCTTTGTCCAGGGTGGGACACACACACACACACATGAGCCTCTAAATATGCCTCCAGTACCAAATGCATCGTTCACAAGCATTGAGCTGCCTAGCAACAAAAAAGAGAAGGTGGGCCAAGGTGCTGCAAGCGCAAGCTCCAAATTGGCGCGTTGCGCGCAACCAATATGACTCTTGCCCCGTGCCTGAAAACACGATTAAGTCAACAGAAAAGGAAGTCCTCAAAGGCCAAAAAACCGACACCCTCCCAGGAACACAGAGCCCAAGAGCCAAGAAAAGAGGAGCTTGGAGGATGGTTCGCACCCAAATGATTCCTAACAGCCACACACCCACCTCCAGAGGCAAGGATAGATCCTTCGACTGCGGCCTGCCAGCGCGTGACCCTTGACACGAGGCGAAAACGAAAATTGTGCTGGTGAATGGGTGCGAGGCAGTTGAGCAAAGCCAGACTGCGGGTTTGTCAACCAAGCCCTTGGATGGTGAGACGCTCTGTCTGTAGTCCAATCACCTGAAAAAAAATGAAAGTACACATTTCACTATTGTCATTGATCTTGAGGGATCTTACGGGGTCAATAATCAGGGTTCGGACCAAAGCCACTGCAAGGATGACGCAAAGTGCCAAAAACTCCTTTTTCTCATAGTTGCCGCAAGGCGCAGTGAAACGCGAATCGAAGCAATCCTCCTTCCCTCCTGATGCTCCAGGTCATTGGTCCAGGTCTCTAATGGAATGTCACCATGTCCAGCGGCAAGTGGCCGATGTCACCAAAGCGGTGCAAGCTCACTCGCCTTGGCCGTCTGCCGCAGCGTGTGCCCACATGGAACGTCGATCAACCAATTCAGACAAGAAGCCCGTCGGCGTGAACAACAATCCTCGTAGCAAGTGGTGCGCTCTTTGGTTCGTTGCAAAGTTGGAGCAAGGGTCGGATCATAGCTGGTACAGCTCAATGATTCCATGCAATGCACCAGGTGACGTATCATTCATGCGGAGGGCTCCAGTGTCGGAATTCTTTTGTACAGTAAATCTCTGGGGGCCAAGGCCACTAGAAAATGGGGAGGTGCAACTTCACGTTGAACCACCCTTCATGTTCTACACTCCGTGGCTGGGTCAGCGAAGCTTACAACTGACCTGGCTCCTCGCTGGGCCTAGGTCTGGGTCTAGGTTTCCCACTCCAAATACATCCCAAGAAGCATCCAACAATTTTATACAATTTTCTAGTGAGCTATCCTCCCCCTGAATAGGGATGTCCTGTTTTGGTTGGAGGTTCCGGTGTGGGGTTCTTGGAAAAGGATCTTGTTCTACACACATTGACTATACTAAATATCTTGGCGGATCAATCATCCATCATCTCATGCAACACAACTACGACAACCGTGAACTGAACCGTGAACTGAACAATGGACCGGTGTGGCAGGTGTGGAGGGGTGACCATGGTGACCTTCCAAACGTTCACCGACTCCAAGCACCGCCTGCGGTGAGCCTTCTTGTTAACATGCTGTCTTGCTGCCTTAACCTACAGGACATCCATGGGCGTTCGCCTATGGTGAGACGTCTCGAATCCCTCGTCTGTTTTCTGTCCAGTCACGGGGCATGTCGTTCGCTGGAGCCCTGGAGCTCTCGAGGTCCATGCGTCGTTGCGTCGTTCGCGCGAGCGGGACCAGCTCTTTGAACCATTCAAGATTTGGGGTTTGCTGGCTGGCCCACACTATCCCAACACAGATCTGATGAATCATGACAAAAACAAACAAAAGGACCTGCCCCATGTCAATCTGAGCGGCTCCGTGATGTTGGTGTTGTCGCCCCGCAGCCGCAGCCACGCTTCGGGCGGCAGCTGCAAGGCGCGCATCACCTGAGAGGAGTGACCAGTGAACCGGAACGGCAATGGCAGCAATGAATCAGTGGGGCCAACCTACTAGCGATGGCCTCCCACCTAAGAGCATAAGGAATCTGATAGCAAGCAATGGGCTCCAACTTGAGAGCGATGGTCTCCAACCTAATAGCGTTGGCCTCCTACCTAATAGCAAACTATTTCAGGCGGAGGTCTTGAACATGTGAAACTCTTGACTCTTGGGATTCTATGTCAGTATGATTCAAAGGTGCAATTGGGCCTCAGTTCAGAACACAGTCGGTCTTGCAAGTACCTTGAAGATTGATCTTCTTCCTCTTCCTCTTCCTCTTCTTCTTCTTCTTCTTCACTCCTGTGCCCCAACAGGTCTTCGTCAACATTCCCACCACGTGGGTTTCTGTGGTCACATTGTGGCCACTCACTCAATCCGAGCCGCGAAGTACCTGATCAAGTTCATGTGGCAAACCTCGGCTTAGCAGCTCATACGAGCCAAAAAAGTATTTTTTGCGGAGGCGATATTGATGTGTACAAAGTTCTTCACCATGACTCTAGAAGATCTTCAATATTCTTCAAACTTTGCTCCTCCCTCAATCAAAGCCATTCGATGCAATTCTCTTCAAATGTATTCAATTGTTCTTTACGACACCGCCCCAGCCTGTTGAGCTTCCGCGGTTTTGCGAACAAAAGGGTCCAAGGCACGTAGATCTCATAGACGTGCTCCGGTTCCTTCGGTTCCTTCACTTCCTTGGGCGTCTCCTTCTCCTCCCGATGTGCCTCAGGGGTGGCCTCCGGCACATATCCTCGGCCAGGCACCATGTTTGGTGGCCAAAAACTGGGAAAAGATTCCAGAAAAAGAAATGGCACCAAAAGGGGCAGGATGTTACTGGCACATCGCGACACATAGGGACACACTAATCATTAATCATGCTCCCTAATGAATCGCCCAAAACAATCCTCTGACATTTTTGCCCCAACTCACCTGCTGGAAACCACTGCCCCTTCAAGGTCTTTGGATCCAAGAGGCACAATCAACCATCAACATGCTAGAAATGCTCACAAGAGCTATCCGCCACCCTGCTACAGCGACCTTTGCATGGTCGACCCCCCCACTCCTCGCTCCTTTTTGTGCTCATGTCGTGCTCCTTTTTGCATCCAGGAGTCCATCACCTAACTTGCTCTCTTGCTCTTTTTTCTTTTTCTTTTCCTTCTCGGCCAGTCGCTTGTGATCAACCTCACGATGTACATACTTGCGAAAGCCCGCTTCCATCCGTGCAGAATCCTGCGCCCAAGGCTTCGCAAATTCCGCTGGACGACCCATGCGGCACGGGTTCTTGGACCTGGGATTGAACTGGGTTGATCGAAAATAGAGTTCTATATATCTCAACCATCTCAACCACTAAGTTGTTGGTCTGAAACTCAGAAGGCCCTTCAACCACTCGGTCATTCTTGGTTTTTCCCATTCTGCCAGGTTGGCTAGAGGGAGACAAACCTTGTATGCTGTCACTTCGTGTGGCCAACCAGGCTCAGGTCAAGGGCGATCGATGTGTCGGCGAATCCCAGCAATCCTCAAGTTGGATCCTGAATGAATCAAATCCACCTAAAGCACCAACGAAAACAAGAGTCTGGGCCGAGGTTGGGCTGGCGCATCACTCGTCATTTATCATACAAGATTGACCATAAATTGCATCGCAAAATTGCCTTCTATGCATCAGCAAATGCGGGAGAAGGACAAAGGCGGAACTGTCCGGGGGTTGGTGCTTACAGTATATAAGATTATCTAAGTCCTGGCTGGATCAACTGCCCCAGTTATCCAGTTACTAGTTGGAACCAAAAATCTCATTGAATTGTGCTGCATGGTTCGGTCTTTTGGATGCAAGGCAGCCGACTTTCCGCCCCCAACTCCCGCCCCATCCCTTCATCTTCCACTCCTCCCACAAATCCGCCAAGCGAGAGGCTGAGGAGCTGGGATGCGGCTGCGTGGGCTTGCCCTCGCTGAGCAGCACATCCGGCTCCATCAACGGCACGTCCGGCAGGTGTGCGGCCAGGATCCTCACATCGAAGCTGAAAGGCTCAGACTTACCACAGTGATTCTTCAGAGGAAGAAATTCCAAGAAAGATCTGAAGACAAGGAAAATGTCTGGTGAGATTCGTTGCGACTAACAGCACGAGTCACTACCACTGGAATTAGACTGGCTGTCTGCCTGCAACCTGCGACATCTATATACATCCCTGCAAAGCGTGGGGATGTGGTCACAAGCTTGAAGACCTCAGTATGACACTTCAATTGCCCCACATCACCAACCACCGCCAGAGATCTTCAGCCACAGGCAAAAGTGAGAAAGCCAATTGCCATTCGTCATCATGTGTCATGGTCTTCTTGCAAATCAGCGTCTGTGCCGTTTGGATAGCTCGGGTCACATTGCTGACCCAAATGCCAGCATATTGAATGCGAACCTCACCTGTGCCGATAGTGTGCATCCGCAAATCTCATGACTTTGCAACGTTGTCCCTCATTGACACCATCGTGCTCTTGGTCGACACATTGGCAGAAAGCAAACACGCCGAATAATCGGCCTTATGGGATCTTATGGGGGGACTAGGATGACCTATGGATGTGGAGACGAATAAGGTAGGTCAAGTGAACATCCTTCATACTCCGTCCTGGAAATATCAGGATGTTGGCTGTAAGTAATGGAAAACAATGGTCACCTTAGTCACCTTTGTCTTCCTTCCAAACCTCAGTTTATGAGCAGAGTGGCCATAGCGGTCCTTCTTTGTCAGCTGCCGCTCAGCGCTCAAGCGCTGCGCCAGCTTCTCCGACTGCCTCCGACCCAGGTCCGTTAAACCGCGCTCCTCGCCCTCCAGGTCATATTGCCCGTGTCGGACGAGAATCCTGGTTGTGACCGATGATGGCTGGTGAAATGGTCAAACAATTGTAAAAGAGGTTGGATCAAACATCTCGCCACACAATACCAGTACCAGGAGAGAAAACAGGTGAAAGCAGCACAAGCTGCTTCCTTATGTCTCCAAGCATCAGGTGTCGGATCTTCCCTGTCGCTTTCATCTTCTCCCCTGGCGGTGGTCCCCGGCCATCCCAGTCGCCATTCCACGTGCGCTGCCACAAGGCACAGGCATCGGAGCACTGCGCCGGGTCCGTCCACCACTTCTCATCGTCGCAGCGGCAACGCCTCTCCCACGTGGCCCCGGCGACCGCCGAAGCCAGGCCCAGCGGCGCCCAGGCGCCGCGCGGGGCGACGCGGCGCCCAAGGCGGAAGGCTGAGAAGCGAAAGCCACGCCGCATGGCGCCCAGGAGGCGATGTCGAGCAACTGGGTTAAAATGGTTTCACCATGTAGTTAATCTAGAATCTAGACACAAGCAATGATAGTTGATGCTACAAGTATGTACGAGCAATAGTGCAGTTCAGTTCAATCTGTGAACTTTAGGAAGCCCGAATCTGTGCATTTTAGCAGGGTGGACAAGGGAAGGGGTGGTTTATTCAGTATGGTCCAGAGCTTCTTTGGTCATGAAGTCTTACGGAATGCATAGTTGGAGCCGAGTGGAGGCATCATAAGTATAAGGCATCCAGATCCACTTGTATCTCGTGTTCAGACCACAACCTGGCTCAAACAAAGCAACAAGATTGATTAGCATCAACGACAACGACCCTCTTTGCCTGGGCTCATCCCCATCGCAGGTGCGGCTACTCCCTGCAGCAGCGTCAGCCTCCTGTGCAGGGAGCCGGGGGAGGTTCCACACAAGTACCAAATTGCCAATGAGAGGATTGCAAAATCTCCATCGACACCAATCGCTCTTCAAACACCCACCCGCAATATCCCTCACCTTCTCATGCTGGTCATCCCGCGCACTGTTCGACCTTGAGGCACCCGTCAGAAACAAGTTCAAGATCTTCCGGTGGCGTCCGATCTGAGAGCAGGATTTGATTGGGAAGCTCAGTTTGAGGAGCCACGTGGTGTCCACCACATAAGCAAAGCCATCGTCTCAAGGTGCGAGTTAACGTATTCTACTTCCAGAATCAGGCCATCTGAACCGGGTCCTCAACGCCATAGGAAGCCAGTTCCGGGAGCCCAGCGAGGCGCGCTCCAGCGCATCAAGGCTTTGGGTGTTCAGCGCCTGCCCAGAGAAGAGCGGAAACAGGTGAGGGTTCCTAGACATAGTTGGGGTGCCCACCCCAATCCACCAAAAACAAGCAAAAACGCACTCGGGAATGAAGCGTGCGAACTGACTGCGGTTTGCCACACGCCAGCCTAAGTAGAAAACCTAAGAAACTAGGTGGTGGGCATGTGGCGCGGTCCGGCCATCAAGTCTCTAAACCACCAAAGTCTAAGTTCAAGGTCAAAAAACGAGCCTGCGACAACGACGACGAATCATCGCGCACAGTACATGGATGGCCCCCCCAGTTCCAACACATGTCATCAAGTCTTCCAAAATACCAAAACGCATTCTATGAGTCCAAGGTGCACACACACACACACACCTCCACCTCCCAATGGAAGGCAATTCTCTCACTGAGATGCCGACGTCAAAAGAGTGAGAACTTTCAATAAAAGCTACACCGTTCATGTCGATTGGGGTAGGCAACGAACGGAACGCGAACAGTTGCCACATGTGGCGTCATCCTGAAGCATCAGTGGGCGAGGCAAGGGTCCACATACACACGAACTAGATCCATGCTCGCAAGAGTTCAATCAATTTGGAACTCACCGAATGCATTATATAATTACAGTATATATAAAACTGCAGAAACCACGTATGAGACAGCGGTAAGCTCTACTCAGAATCACAACATCAAAAAATTGCAGGTACATTTGCAGCTCTCACCATTGGCCACCCACCAATGGTGAGAGGGATCCCTGCAAGTTAGTTGTGTCAGAGGTCCTTAGGAACAGGACTTGACACACACACACACACTCTGACATAGGTTTTCAGTTTGCTCAGTTCCCAAGTCGAGAAGGAAGGTGAGGGAACAGCAAGGCGAGCAAGTCAGGTCACTTGAAATGTTGCTTGAACAATTGTTGTACTCAGTGGTCGCACTCTCGCGCGGCTGGCTGCAATTCACGAGCGGCTGAAAACTGTGGTGGGAAACCTGTTTTGGGGAAGAAACACATGAAACACCATGAATCAAACCAAAGGAGTGGACAGCGTGTGCAAAAGTTCATTGAGCAAGTGCACAACGCGGCGTCCCGCATTGCTTCACCACGATCTGACAGCGTCTTCGTTGGGCACTGTCTGTCAGTCGTGCATTGCCCCCCTGCTGAAAGTGAGCGTCAAAAACCAAACTGCGAGGTGGAACCCTTAGGCACAGGGGGCACACACACACGGTGCCGCTTTGCGGCGCTCGTGCGAAGGACCTGAATAGGTACCTAAAAAGCCTTAGAAACAAAAGAAAGAAACACAGAAAGAGCAGCGCTAAGAGGGCAAGAGAGAAAGGTAGGAGTAGAAAAAAGTGAATACTTAGCCCTTGACTGGGGTAGGGAAACGAGCCTCAAGAGCAACCTAAAAAGCCTGAGAGAAAGCCCAAGAAACGACCAAAAGCGCAAGAAGGAAAGTGGGGGGGCAGGGAGGTGTATGTACATGTGTGTGTCCGTGTGTGTGTGTGTATATGAATACTTAGCACTCTAGAATCACTGATTACTTAGCGGAAGTGAATTAAGTGCAATAGTTAGGGAGCGGGACTTTAGTCTTAGACCGCCCGGGTAGAGAAGACTAGAAAAGGGACAACAGAGGGAAAAGCACCGACACACAAGTGTGCCGAGTACCATTTCCCTCTGTTACCCTAATTAGTGGGTGGGAGGGGTTGGGGTGTTTGGGGTAGAGACCACGTCGGGGTTCATTCTCCGTACAAGCCCGGCGGCTGTTGAACTCAAATGGTTTTGTCCGTACAAGCCCGGCGGCTGTTGAAGCAGTTGATCCAGTAGTGAAAAGGAGTCCGTTAAGATAATCCAAAACGGTGGAAAAGAAGAATCAGTTGCACGAATTCCGGAATGAGAACGGCGCCTCCTTGCGGAGGATCACACCCAGCACCCAAGTGGGACGGCTGAGCGGTTCACACTCTGACATTGGTTTTCAGTTGGCTCAGTTCCCAAGTCGAGAAGGAAGGTGAGGGAACAGCAAGGCGAGCAAGTCAGGTCAGTTGAAATGTTGAACAATTATTGTACTCAGTGGTCGAACTCTCGCGCGGCTGGCTGCAATTCACGAGCGGCTGAAAACTGTGGTGGGAAACCTGTTTTGGGGAAGAAACACATGAAACACCATGAATCAAACCAAAGGAGTGGACAGCGTGTGCAAAAGTTCATTGAGCAGGTACACAATGCGGCGTCCCGCATTGCTTCGCCACGATCTGACAGCGTCTTCGTTGGGCAATGTCTGTCAGTCGTGCATTGCCCCCCTGCTGAAAGTGAGCGTCAAAAACCAAACTGCGAGGTGGAACCCTTAGGCACAGGGGGTGACACACACACACACACACACCAAAAAATCCGTCCTGGTCACCCCAAATGCTAGGACCGGTCCGTCTCTCACCCCAAATGGCACCTCCATAGCACATCCTTTCGCTGGCGAATCCGTAGACTGGGCAGATGGGCACGTCTCACGTTGTCATTCAGCTCATCCAAAAAACTGTGTCGTGTCCTCATCGAAAGGTGTTGCAAGGGTTTACCATGGTTTTACCATTCATGAAGTCTGACATCAAAGCACCCTCGGTGAGCCGAACCCCCACCGGCCCGAGTTCTGCATGGTGCTCTGCTTTGCCCCACGAGTCTGAGAGGACACGTATGTTGAGGCCTTGAACGCTAAGGGCCATGCTCTTGTGGAACCGTGAAGACCAGCTGGATCCCACCATGAGGACAACAGCTAGAGGCAGCTAGAGGGCCTTGGGAAAGTCTATTGCGATGCTTGCTTGGAGTCCTTGGGTTCCAGCCAATTACGTCACAGGTCTAAAACTGGGTTAGATAGTGCTATGCTGCGTTCAGAATGACATCATACACCTATTGCATCCTATTGGTGGGTTCCGGCTGAGGCTCTCCATGTTGCACGCATTGACAGCTGCCTCTTCCACGCTTCTTGTGGCATCTTGTTTGGCCACGCTCCAAAGGTGAGTCTAAAGTCTGAAGCCACGAAGCTCACGCGTGCACCTGGTGTTGCGTCACCATAGCTTTCTCCTTCCAAAGAGTGTGCGTATCATGTCTGACTACCTTCCTGTATGCTGCGTTCCATGCCTCGGACTCTAAGCACCGCTCTTTTTCCCCCACATTGTGCCAAGTAAAGCACCCGCTTGGAAGCTCGCATGAGCAGCTTCAGCAACCAGAAGAAGCAACAAAAACACTCATTCATGCAGAATGATGCCAAAATGGCAGGCATCACAACGGTGAATGATTGTGCATGTCTCAATGATTGCGCATGTCTCAGTGGCTTGTCCTTCCGTTGATCAAACATTACATCGTCAATAGAAGCATATGCATTATGTTGCCTTTGTCTGTGGACACGTCTTCATGGAACGGCGATGCTATGAACCCTCCATCAGCGAATCTTGCATTCGCCCTGGGATCTGCCGCTTCGGGCACGCATAGAGTCCCCCATCCCCGCGACTCATGGCGCATCGACGTCCGTTGGGCGAAGACCTCGCCCGCAGTCACTCAAACCTGAAATGGCAAAAGGCGGGCAAGCGTCCTTGCCGAAATCTGTGGCAAATGAGGGGGATATGGTGACAGAGTGAGAGAAAAAGAGATGTTGAAGGGACATAAGGGCTGCAGCCCTGTCCCATATTCTGGCAGCTTGCTGAGAGGTCAGGGGCGTTGTTTATGGAACACTGCGCTCTGAAAAATGCTGGCCAGCGACTGTAGAGTTATACAGCAATGTCATCAACGTCTATCTTTGGCAATGATCGTGGTCAGGCCAATGGTGAAAGAGGATAAGGATCAGGACAAGGATAAGATCCGACTTGCCCAAAGGGTGCTATCATTCCTCATCAATCTTAATGACATCCTGATGGCCACTCACATTCTCCACATTAGTATCCACAGCGACCATGCCCATGCCCCACGTGCTCATTGCAAGGCACTTTTCTGGCGGTGGCCACACACCGACCCCCCCGCTGCCCCTCGCTTGCGAAGCACGCTGAGGTTTGGTGCGTCTCAGGTCGCGGCATTTCGAGGTCCTGTTTTGCCAGGCAAAAGGATATTCTGGGGACCAACTCTTCCGCATTTTCCAACCTGACCGATCTCTGATGATCAGAGCAATTCGGAAGAAAGTCCAATTCATCTAGAAAACACCTTGTACATTCCCTCTGCACATTCTTGATGAAATGAGTGTGATGCACCTGAAACTGAGCAAGTATCATCAAGTATGTACAATTCCTGCGATGCCTCTCCCGATATCTTTCCCTCCACTCAAGGCCTTGGATCAAGTGACGAATCAAGAGCGGCCCTGAGACTCTCTCTCTCTCTCACTTGGCACATCTTACCTTGCACATGTGAAGCTAAACTCATCAATTCTATGCTTGGGCTTCCGGCGTCGTTCGAGCTTCTCTTGCCTTAGTAGGCAGCAGTTGATCGGAAGCCAGCGGCAGCTCCGGCAACCGGTGACGTGCTGACTCGGCGTAACGTGCTGGGCCGCTCACCTTGAGTACTGCGCAGTGTTTGGCGTGCTCGGCCACTCTGATGCCTCTGCGGGATCCACCGTATGATGTAGGACCCATGCTGGAGATGAACAGAAATGATCGGACATGGTGTCCAACAAGGGATCCAAAATCATCGAAACACCATGCTTTACAAATCATGGATGTGACATGGGAGCAATGGGAGCTGCAACTGGCCTCGCTTTTGGCATTTGGACTGGCAGCTGCTGCACCCTCATTCCTCTTTGCACATGCCTGGACGTGAGGAGCAGGGTCAACTAAGAAGCTTCTCTCCAAAGCTTGAAGCATTAAAGTTGGAAAAACTAGACGACCTTGCCCCTTTAAAATTGAGAAAATTAAATTTGAATTCTGAGGTACTTGGGGCGAGGTGTTTGCGGACACCCATGAGAACTTAGAGCTGCCAACTTCATGCTTGACACAAGCAACCCCAAGTTATTATATATATATAGATACCAGAACCAGCGCAGTAGTAGCGTCAACTTTATGCAACTTTTGTGTTGGTGGCGGAGGGCTCACAATTGATCTGTAGATCATGTGATATACTGTAATGTGTCAGCACTCAAGCGGGTCAACACCAAGCCTCTGGTCCTGGCTCAGGTGAGTCCGCCACAGCGCTTTCAGCCAGCCTGAGTCTTCGGCCGCGGCTTCCTGGTAGGGACGGACACTGCGGCTTCCCATCTTTCCATGCCTGGTGAGTGCTTAGTGCTTAGTGACTTGGTGCACTTAGACCTTTAGCACTCTGGGCCGCCACACTGCTCAGCTTGCAGTCTCTCCTCCGCTTGCCAATCACTTTGGAGAAATGCCCTCAAACAGCAACCCACTCCACTGCTTTGGCTAAGCCTTGTCCCGTTGATAGCAAGCCAATCTGCTGCTGGAATTAGCGAGACACTCGTTTCGCAAACTCAGCTAGCATCTAGGCACATACTTTTCAAGACTGGCAAAACCGCGTCAAAAAACGACCGTTGACAAGCTCCTTTGGAGCTCAGTCAGGAAGTCATCAAACATTATGTAGTCATTCCCAGCGTGCCCGCCACACGCACAGCCACTGGAAGAACTGTCCCACCGAGTATACAGTATAAAGGTATAAAGGAGCTACGTCAATCGTCTCAGTTTCTTGGCGTGGTTGGCTTATGGCACATTCTAGGGTTCCCCCTCAATCCAGGGTGGAACGAATTGAGACGCGCCGGTTGGGTCGATCGTTGCTTGGCAACTTGGCCGCATCTGGCGCCTTCCCCGCCATCTGGTCCTGGACCTGGGGGTTCCAAAAACAATTGTCTCAGGAATAGAAACTGAAATTCCTGAAACCTGGTGAAGCAACAAAATACAACATAGATCAACATTGCGCTTTCCTGGGAGTTGGATCTTCACGTATACTTGTTGGGAGGGCTCGGCTTGTGGCGCAGTTGCTGAGTCTCCGGCACTTTTCAAGGCTTTGCTTAAGGCGGTGACTTCCTTACAGCGGTGAGTTGAACGCTTATTCACAAGGACAAGTCTTCAAAGTCTATTCCCCGAACCATCTGAATTGCTCGGGGAAGCAAGACTGATTCAGTGTAGATACCAACATGTTACTAAGGATTAATCAGGACGCATCACATCTTCCAATCTTCCAGACAGGGTGCCAATTGTATGATCTTCACATCCAGGCTTCGGGCCTGGCAACACAAAGCAACTAATAGCTTTGTGGGCAAGTCCACCCGCCACTCGCCACTCTGGGACTGAACATGGACAAGAGTGGGGATGTCAACCAGTGTCCATGATTTGGGGGTTCTACGTGGTCAAGTGGTCAAGTCCTTACAGTCGACATGCTCCGCAGCGTGGCTGGGCAAATGCAGCGGTGTAATGTTTGTTAGGCCATTCAGTATTCAGATCTTAAAAAATTTGTGGATCCCCCTCTCCCTCGTGCAACTATGACTATGACTATAGCTATGGTGGTCAGTAGAGGTGAGTGGAAAGTGGACAGGTTCCCAAACGAATTTCCTGTCCAGAGTCCAAACCTTCTACAAATGTCCAGTCTGGAGGGTGGTGACTCCCAGTGACCAATCCCACTCCTCGTTTGGGCAAAGAACAATATCTTGTGTGCCTCGCTATCTGTTCTCTTTGTATCAGCACTTGCCCAAGCGACCTACCACTCTAGATCTCTATCACTCTGCCTCACCCTCCTACTATCTCGCTTCCTCTCTCTCACTCAATCTCTCCCTCGCATGCCTCGCCCTGTAGCTTCCAACAACCGTCCACAAATTCCGGATAGCTCACCTCACCTGCTCAAAAAGGTGTTGGAGCGTCAGAAAAATTGACCACAATAAATGTGACGACTAGTCTGACTAGTATTTGATGCAAGTGAAAGCTATGTTTATCATTGTTTATCAATTGTTCAAGACAGCATCAGAATCTAAGTTTGTGGAGTTGCTCTAAGATAGTTGTTCAATCCACGTAGAGGTCACCTATAACGACTGTATATTGGCCTCTCATGTCCTTATCAACTCGCTCTCTCTCTCTCTCTCTTTCCTTTCACTCCTCCTCTCCAGTTGCGGTGTCCTAAACCTGCCTGAGCCATCATAGTCCAAAAGGTTGAACAAGTGTTCAGCTTCTCCTCAGATCCAAGCAGCTGATTCTCAGAGGTTGTGTTTGCAGCGTGGCTCCTTCCGGGTGCTTCACCGAAATCGGCCGTCGTTTTTGTTCATCGAAATCACTCCAAATCCAAATAAACAAAACAAAACGGGATCCGGGATCATGGTTTGCTCATTTTATTTTGTTCATTTGTGGATGGGCTCATAGATCGATCCAAGATTCGAGCGTCTAGCTTCATTGATCGGAAGTAAGCCACCACCTTGCTACGAAAGAAAGCCAAGGGATGGTCCAAAATAGGATTCCAAACAGAGGATGGGAGTGTCATTCAAGAGTTTCCCTATATCTATCGCGAATCAACTCTAAACAACACCCTAAACCTAAACCCAAGACAAGTGCAAACATGGAAAGTTTCGGGACATTACCAAGCAGTTGTGAATATTGTTCATCTATCATTGGATCATTGTGGACTTAGCTTTCCTCCGAGTCACTCGTTCATCTTTCAGGGTTTCATGAAACTCCTGCCGGCTAATTAGGCCATTGCCATCTGCATCCATTTCCTGGGAGAAGGCCAAGACAATACCCAAATTATGACCAGCACAATCCAAATTTCCAGTCAGCCGCCGTACACCAAGATTGGCACTGCAAACGAAACTATACACCAAAACCAAATTCAAAACAGCAAAATGAATATTGTCTCTTGTGTTGTCGCCTGCATGAATGTCAGAGCCTGTCACCATTCCGTCATCAATCTTGTCAAGAGGCGGCAAATATCATCTCTATGTCCCGGAGGTATTGCGTTTTGCTTTGCATCTCCTCTTGGATAACATGCTCTCGGTCTGACTTGCTACTCTTCCGGGCGTTCTCAAGGAAAATGCTCGTGATGACGTTGGCCAACGCATAAATACCTGAGCCAGGTAAGATATAATGGTGCACCAACAAGAAAGGTATGCCGAAGTGTGGTGGTTCCCCATCCTTGGCTTACCTTTGTTACAATCCTTCTTTGTCTGTATCTTTACTTTGTTCTTGAGTCCAAGCCGAGCCCCTGAGCGACGTGTCACGTGCCTGTCCATGCTCTTCGATCCTGGTCTCTGTCATTTCCCATGGCGTCGTCAATTTTTTGGGAAGGTCATGGAACCTATTTGAGTAAAGAGCCTTGAAGCACAAGCCCTCCACTTAGTGGTGCGGAACAGTGATGTCCAGAAGACCCAAATGGTGCCAAAGATGCCAAAGGTGATATAAATCAGGAACAGGCCGTGGTAAATGACGGGCAGTTGCCAAACAGCCTGCCATCAATCTGCCATTACTCACTCTGCGGCAGCAGAAGCTGAAAACCGTGCTGCAATGCTGCAGTTTTATATGTGTGCCACTGTCGGGCTATTGTGAGCTCCTCCACAGCCCCACACCGAGACCCAAATACCAAAATCCTAGAAACATCAGTGGACTTGCAAGTTGGCCCGACACCTTGCATTTGGTACGGCGAGCGAAAACCCTGGCAGCAAGGCAATTCAAGTTCCATCCTTCCATCCTTCCTTAACCCAGCAGGTCTGAGTCTCTAAGCTTTCCAGGCTTTCCACATGCTCCCAACTCCAGCCTTGTACTGCTCTATCCAATCGGTGCCTCCCGTCATGGCCATGTAAAGGTGTATGATTGAACGGTCCAAAGTGCCAAATGTCGACCTGGGTGATCCCGCCAGGCTGTCCGAGAGTACAACTTCAATCAACTTCAAATTCAAATCCAAGAGTACAACTTCAATTGATAATCCTTTTGACAACTTATTCCACAGAATCCTCACAAACTCTGACCTGGCGAATCCTGTCGAGCGGAGTTTGGAGTTGTGATGCTCCACCTTACAGTGCACAAAAAAAACCACCTTACAGTGCCGAGCATCACTAGCTTCTCAAATTTTGGATCGCGTCGCTTCTCACCGGTGTCGAGTTCAGATCCTCAGGGTTTCACCAGCTCATCTGCGTCGGTCCCATGCGCATCCATGCACCATGGTCAGTGCACATTTTGCTGGGGATGTGTCCCAAAATCCTCATGATGCGCACCACCTGAGACCCCCAAACATATACCACGGCCGCCACCACCCTGACGGCTGAGTTGCCTGTGGCTGAGGTAAACAGCACCGCAAAGAGGCCCATGTTGAGAACCAAGACAGCGATGACCCAAACCAAGGACTTGATACAGCTCACAATGCTGTACATCAGCATCCGCAGTTCTGCGAAACTCTTCATGACCTGCAGCGCTCTGCTTGGAACAGGCTGGAGGTCATGAGGCCATGTACAAATAGCCAAACGCGTCGCACGTCAGTTTACCAATCACTTCACCGTCAGGAGTAGTCTTACGCTGTGTACAACTGTGAAAGGCTGTTTCGGCGAGCTGCCCGGATGATCTTGACGACCCTCACAATTCGAAGTACTCGCATCATGCGCAAAAGGCCAAATTGGACCCAAACTTCCAAAAAGATGCTGACCTTGGATCCAACATGATTCAACGCATGCGCACTGCAACGCACACTGACTGAACGTGCAAAACAGTCAGAGAGTAACAAGGGTCGCGATCAGTTTGCATACACCACTGGCCTTGTGCTTCGTGGGATGGGTCTCAATCCCAGTGGTGGTCCCATCACACATCTTGTCCAAGTCCGGAACCATCAATGCCAAGGAACCAAATCAAAGGTGACCACGAACGAGTCCATCCTGTCACACGAACGAGCCGTCGGACGAAGGACGAAGTGACCGGAATGAAGCCTTCTCACAACAGCGGCTGCGTGGGATATCGCTTGGAGTCTCTGTGGCTGGTGGGACGTGTTTGTAGTGTGTCTTTTGGCTGATAGGACGTGTCTTTGTGGTCTTTGTGTGTCTGGTGTGATGCCCCTTTGAGACCAGAAAGACCCATACAAGGACCAGTGGGTCCGGTCACCTCTTTCGTTCCTTTTGGTGTTCTTTTCTCAAAGAGTTCCCATCGGTTCTTTAGCACAAGAAAGGCAATCGATTAGCCAAGTATTAGCACTGTGACGGAGAGATAGGAACGTCAGAATGAATGGTGCCAAGCCACACGTTCCACAAGAACTCCTTGTTCTTGTAGTGGACAAAGAACGATCTGTCTGCCAGGATTCGGAAGACAAGATCCTCGGCAGCGCTTGATCTATCCTTCCTTGATTCAGATTGCAACACTTGCAACAACGTGCCCTTGCTTGTCATTC